GTTTAAGTGCACAGTTCAGGGGCACAGCCACATTTGCTGCACTGTGCAGCCACCACCGTCACCTCCAGAGTCTCCTCATCTTCCCAGGCTGAAGCTCCACTCTCGTCTCGGGAGACGACAGACTCGGGACAGCTGCTCCGAGTCCCGCCCCAGCCCTTCTCCTTCCTGGGTCTGTGGGTGTGAGGGCTCTGGGGACCTCGGGTGAGTGGGGAGGGAGTTGGTGCTGCTTTATCCACGCACCTGCAGACGGGTCCTTTTCAAGGGTCCTGGAGAACTCAGGCGGGGGCAGCCCGTGAGCCCAGCTTTCTTGCGCGTGGATTTCAGGAGATGCCTCTGTGGACATCACGGTGCCCAGATGTCACGGGAGAGGCAGACACCCTGAACCCCATGGCTCACGACGGGGCTGAGCTGCTCCCCGGACGTCTGTCCTCAGCAGCAGGGGGGACGCCGACTCCGGCCCCTGCACCCCCCACCTCTCGGTCTCCAGGGGAGGACCCTCCTGGGGTGGGCAGGCGGCTCTCGGCCCCAGATCTGCTTCTGGGTCTGAGGCTGGCGCTCAGCCGGGCCGCACGGGCCTCCCATTACCCTCCCAAGTCAAGGTAAAACAAAACCACAGTCCCCGAGTCATCTGCAAACCTCCCACAGCAAGCTCGGAGGAGGAGGCCATCTGAGGGCCGGGGGGGCCGGGCTTAGGAGGAGGCCAAGCTTTACCCACGGAGACGCCGTTAAACAGAACCCAAGTGACCCAAGGGAGCTGCCACGCCACCGCTCACCCACACCTGCAGGGCACACACATGCAGGGGCTGGGGGCGGCGTCCAGTGTGGTGGGGGTCTTGGTTCAGATGTCCTGAAGCTCCTCCCTCGGAGTGGGCAGCCCCCATCAGGAAACCTCTGGCCGGGAACCCAGAGGCTGGAAGCTCGCCTCACTCTGGGACCTGGGCTCTCCCCGTGATGGCTGGGGCTCCCTCAGGGCGGGGTTCTTCTTCCCCTCTTGGATGGTGAGGGGGAAGGAGGCAGGATGATGGCAGGGCTGGGTGGGCTCACCGGGCTTCAGAGGGCAGCGGGACTTAGACAGCTCAGCCCAGCGCCCAGCTCTCTCCAGGCAGGTCTCACGAATGCCCTGAGGCAGGCCCATCACTGGCCAAATTCCACCCCCTCCTGCCTGCACCCAGTCCCTTGTGAAATCTAAGCAAAGTCCTGGGGTGTCTGAGGTCAGAGTACATCGCGTAGCTGCCGCTGCCTAACAAGCGGGTAGGTGGCCCGTGGCTCTGGACTGCTGGGCCACGGATGATGAGGTGAGGCTTGGAAGAGTCTGAAGGATCTTAACTTTGATGGTTATTCAGGGTTTGAGGCTGCGCTCAGCTTTATCATCTGTGAAACCCGTGCAGCCAGCAGGGGTACCGGCAGTTCTGAGGTCCCGGTGGGCAGGCCTGGTGGCCTGACCCAGGCAGGGCAGGGGGACGGCAGCTGGAGCGTGCGGTGGAGAGACTGATCCCTGGGAGCCACTGGAGGGCGCGTGGCGTGACTGTGACCGGAGCAGGAACTGAGGAGCTGGACGGACGGCAGGTGGCGCCACCTGATCTGTGCAGGGACAGGCAGGGGGAGAGCCCAGCTGGAGGCGGCCGGGGCTCCAGGGAGAGGAGTCGGGAGCGGACAGCGCCGGCCCGGGCTGGAAGGTCAGCTTGAGGCTCTGGGATGTGAACACTGGGCACCCAGTCATCCAGAAATAAATGCCAGGCACGGTGGCTCACGCTGGAAGGAATCCCAGCACGGTGGGAGGCCAAGGCGGGAGGATCGCTTGAGCCCAGGAGTTTGAGACCAGCCTGGGCAACACAGTGAGCCCCCACTTCTACAAGAAATACAGAAAGTAGCCGGGTGCAGTGGTAGCAACTGTGGCCCCAGCTACTCGGGAAGCTGAGGGAGGAGAATCGCTTGAGCCTGGGAGGTGGAGGTGGCAATGAGCAGAGCTCATGCCACTGCATTCCAGCCTGTACGACAAGAGTGGTACCCTGTTTCTAAAACGATGCCACTGTCTTGGGGGATTGGAGGGAGGAAAGTGCTCTGAGGGTGATTCAGTGGCCGAACCTGTCATTCTTGGTGGAGGTGAGCAGGCAGCACCCGGTGTGAGCTGTTTGTCAGACGTCAATCCTGTAACAAACTGCTCAGAGGCTGCTTCCTCAGAGGCTGGGTGGGCTGGGACAGGGGATGGTTTCCTCAGGTCTCAGTGCTGCTCTGACAAGTGTTCACACCCCCAATGTCAGGGAGGCCCCTTTGCCCCAGAAAGCCCGTCTACATAGATCTGCTCACCCCCACGGGAAATGTGATTCTGACTTCCAGTGTTCCTTTTGATTAAAAAATTTTTTATTTTTGAGATGGAGCCTCACTCTGTCGCCCAGGCTGGAGTGCAGTGGTGCAATCTCTGCTCACTGCAAGCTCCACCTCCCGGGTTCAAGCGATTCTCCTGCCTCAGCCTCCCGAGTAGCTGGGATTACAGGCGCCCACCACCATGCCTGGCTAATTTTTGTATTTTCAGTAGGGATGGGGTTTCACCATGTTGGCCAGACTGATCTCGAACTCCTGACCTCGTGATCCGCCCACCGTGACCTCCCAAAGTGTTGGGATTACAGGCGTGAGCCACCACACCCAGCCCTAAAAAAAAAATTATTTTAGATGTCGGGTCTTGCTCTGTGGCGTAATCAATGCTCACTGCAGCCTCAACCTCCTGGGCTCAAGCCATCCTCCCACCTCAGCCTCCCTAGTAGCTGTGACTACAGACACATGCCACCACCCCCGGATTTTTAATTTTTTGTAGGAGGGCGGTTTAGCCATGTTGCCCAGGCTGGTCTCAAACTCCTGAGCTCAAGCCATCCTCCCGCCGCCACCTCCCAAAGTGCTGAGATTACAGGCGTGAGCCGCCCCACCCGGCATGAGTTATCAGTGTGTGGTTTGGTGGTTCTGACACCTGCACACGCCTACGTACTCACTGCAGGGACATTCCTCCCTGAGCTCCGCCCAGATGCTTTGTCACAGCCCATCACCTACGGCCTTGGACATATGCGAAGGAACAGCACGCATACCCGCACTGAAGTCTGGCCCCTCACTTGGCACAAATCTCAATCCACCACCTGGCTTGCTGCGGGTCAGCAGCTGCCCTCTCCACCGTGAGGAGCACTTGCCCAGGGACACATGTAAGGGACGGATGTGAGGGTCGTCTCCAGGCTAAGGTGGGGCTTCCTTAGCCGGAGGCTTCCTGGCTCAGGAGTCCCACACAAGCGCCAGCCGAGACAGGGACTCACAGCCCGTTCTCCGGCACACACAGCCCTAGCACAGGTGGCCCCGTGTGGTTGGCCTTGGGGTTGCATGGGTGGGTGCCCTCACTGACCTGCATGGGGTAGGGAGACCCCAGGGCATTGCATGGTTCTCTGAGCTGCGTCCCAGGTGACATCTCCGCACCACCCTTTGGCACCTTTTGCCAGGGAGCCCTGAGGAGCTTGGCACCGTAGGACCCACAGAGGTGGGGACCCTTGACAAGACAGCACTCCCCAGCCGGTGTTACAGGAGCATGTGTGCTGACGAAGGGAGGCCCAGGTCTTCAAGAACTCTTCCCTTTAACTGTCAGTGAGGACTCAGCAGTACCCACCACATTTCCCTTTCTGATTTGGCTGCTGGGAAGCTCAGAGCCATGGTTCCGGATCTATCAGCCCTTCTTTGCACTCTGCGGGTCTGCCTCTACTGTCTGTTGGTGTTTAAGGTGCCTCCCAGCATAGCGGCCGCTGAGCACCCTGACTGCTGGGCTGGCCACGGACCCTTCCGAGCAGTTTCTCTGCAGAGCTGTGCTGCCAGGACCCAGATCGCAGGTACCGCCTCGCCGATCTGAAGGTTCGTGCTGTGCAACGTGCCTTCCTGTTTGTGAGTTCACCTGACCGGCACCAGGAGGGGCTGAACTCCTCGCCTGCTGCTGGCAAGGCCCATCCTGGGCCCATGCAGTGCACACAGCAAGGCCTGTGTCGTGGGTGGTCAGAATTTTGGCCCCAACGGTGGGTGAGACGGGGCTGGCTGCTGGTCACAGAAGAGCAAACAGCCTCATCGCCTTCCCACAGCTCGGTGGGTACAGAGAAGACCTGGGGACTCGGTCCTTAGGGTCTCCTCCAGCCCCGAGTCTTGATGCCCACATAGAGACGGCCTGAGTAGTCAGCCAGACCTGCCCAGACCCCCCCGATGTATGGACCCAGCTCCTCAGCTTGGACCACATTTTAGCCCAGCCCTGGGTGTCTTAAGGGAGCTAAGATGGAAGTCACAGTAGACGTCTGTGGGTCACAGTGAGGTCAGTCACCACTCTGAGGTACAGGCCCCAAGAAGCCTAAAGCCCTCCCCAGGATGACAGCCTGGAGCCTGTGCCTCACAGCTCTCACGGTGGTGAGGCCACGCTCCCACCTCCCAGCTTGCATGCAGCTCTGTGGGTCAGGGGCAACCAAGCCAGGCAGCCTGACCTCAGCCTCAGCAGCTCTGTTGGGGGGCGGGGCACTCAAGGGGGCACTCAGGGCCTGAGCCAGCGTCCCAAGGCTGCCAGGTGGTGGCTGCAGCTACTTTTCTGCTCCACCATCAGTTAGGGGAGCACTAAGATGGCAGCACAAACCCCCAACCTGAGCCAGGCAGCAGGGAGCTCTGGGGCAGCAGCACCTGGGCGTCTGCTCTGTGGACGCCCAGGCCGGAGCCGCTGGACTCAGCCCTCCCCGGGGCCCATCCTGGAACAGACTTGGCCTCGCAGGGGTGCACGGACCTCCTCACCATGGCCAGGAACAGACTTGGCCTCGCAGGGGTGCATGGACCTCCTCGCCATGGCCACTCGGCCCTCCACGGCAGCTGCCCAGAGTTCTGTGGTCACCATGGCCCTCTCAATGCCCTGCTGCACCTCACATCACTTGGGGACCACAGGCTGCTAGGAACAGGAAGTGTGTGGCTCAATTCTGTGTGGTCCAAGTGTGTTTCCTGGCAGGGTCAGTCACTGACAGCGCTGGGAAACGGCCGGCCTGAACGCAAGTGGTCAGCCAGCACCCACTGCCAGGAATGCCACACATAGAGAGCTACGAATGGCATCCTGGGACGGCCACCACTAAAGGCGGGGTCTCAGCCCGGGGCGCGCCGGCATGGAGGACGCGCTAGCATCGGGGACGCGCTGGCATGGGGGACGCGCATTCTGCAGTCCACAGGCAGGGGACGCACCGGGCAGAGCAGGACCCACGGCCCCTGGTGGGTCGTGTTTTATTTCAAATGCGGCCACAGAGACGGTTTCTGCACAGGTACATGATCTGACTCCACAAGCCCCCAGCAGGGACTCCCCATGACGAGCACTGAGGCTGTGTGGGGTCAAAGGAAAACAGGCAACAGCCAGGCCCCTGGATAGACGCGGGCAGGGGACCAGGAACGCAGCCCACGCAGGGGGATGGGGAATCAGGCGGAAGGTGCAGGTTTGCAGCTGGCAGGAGAAGCCAGCGTGGCCCAATCCCTAAAATATTCCTGGTAGAAAAATAGACATTTCCCTCCCAAGCAGATTCCCAGGGCTCCAGGGCCCCTCCAAGGCCAGGTGTCTGGGTGATTCCAGAGCGTCCACGCTCTGTGCTGAAGGCACTGAACCCGTCGTCACTGTCACAACTGTCTCCGGCCAAGGAGGGTCTGGAGGACAGAAGGGGCCCTTGCGAGGCTCTGGTGCTGGTGATCCCGGCCCCCACCGCCGGAGGAGCTGCACCCTGTGTGGTCCGAGGCCGCCCTGCGCTGGGCAGTGGCCCCGTCCCGCGCTGAACCCGCTAGGAGAGCAGCTGCAGCACCTGCCGGATGCGCTGGACCCTCCCCAGCAGGAGGGGATCGGGGTCCTCCTCGTCCAGCTCCCGCATCAGAGCTTCTGCCTTCTGGACCGTCAGCTCGCGGGCCCGGCCCTGCAGCCCCTCCAGGTAGGCCAGCATGGTGGAGAAGTGCTCATCGGGAACCTGACAGGGAAGAGACAGAGTCGGTCAGGGGTAGGGCAGGGCGGGGCCACTGAGCAGTAGGAGACAAGATACTGCAGCCAAGGACACCCTGGCCTCAGGCTTCCGTCCTCCCACCGCAGCCCGAGGGAGCAGGTGGCCTGGCCACAGACCCTGCCCCAGATGCTGCAAGAAGAAACACCTGTTAGAAGCAGAGAGAACACTGAATCAACCTGTGGCTAAAACAGAAGCCGCGCGGGGAGAAGGACATTTCAAAAACATTGTAAAAATCCTCAGAAAAATGAGAAAACATGACAAAAATAAAACAAGGGTAGGCCGTGATAAAATGTGCACTCGGAACAAAAAGCCGCGTACGCTCTGGCACTTGGAGTGCTTTTCTTTCCACTCAGGGTGGCAGTGGCCAGGTGGCATCTCTTGGTGGCCTGACCCTTGTCTGCTGGTGGTGGGGGCTCCTCTGCGCAGGCTCGCCGGCCACCTGCAAATCTGCTCTGCAGACGGGTTTCCTCAGGTCCTTGTGGCAGCAGCTCTCAAAACCGGGCTCTCTTCATTATTGAGTTAGCAGAGTTCTCATTCATGTGGGACTTGCAAACGTCTCCCATTCTGGAGCAACCATTTCACTTTCTGGCTAGTTCTGTATGCAGTGCAAAGTTTTAGATGCATTTTCTTT